TCTCCTGGAATGTTTGTTTGTGACTCGTGAGGCAATGAATTCAAGATGACAGCAACTAAGGGGGGGGGGGGACGAAATATCTCACAAAACCGCTTTTTATTCACATTTTATTCACCCAGAAATTCAGTTCACTAGCTGAAAATTTATAATTTTGGGCGAAAAATTCAGAATACGATTTCAGATTTCACAGCTCCTCTATCATTTCCTCTTTCCCTTTCAAGCCTTTTCCTTCAGCTATAAATTTGTGCTGAAAAGCGTTTCTTGCGACACGAGTGGCCTGAAGATTTTACATCCGTTTGATCTGACTGCCCTGCTGCCTCAGCTGTGGAGTCTAAAATGAGGAGAACGGCCAAAAATCAACAAATAAGACTATGGCACAAACTTTCAGGGTCTCCGAAGTCAGGAACGAAATGGCTAACTCTCTACGTTTTTTTTTCACCCTCAACAATTTTCTTCTGTCATCAAGAATGTCAATATGGAAAATTTAAACCAAAATAATTGTATAATTCAACTTTATTTTCCCAGCAAACGTCCAAATTCTTTGCTCTGCCTTGCAATGATTGCTGCTACGCTGCAAAAATCTAGATTCCCGGAAGCCCCGAATCGCCGACTGACACGAGGCGCTATTTGTGAAAGTGCGTCTCCTGGCAACAGAATCGAAGACCCCCTGACGAAGGCTTCTATTTCAATGCCAGCTGGCTGGATTCTAGGGAAAAGCACTGGCATTGATAGACATTGAACACGTAGTACATTCATGGTTTTACTCAGAAAAGTCCAAGACAAAATTTCTAGAACAGGGAGTCAAAATACTGGGCTCATCAAAGAACTTGTAGATTGTAGCTTAAGGTTTTTTTGCAAAAAAAATTTCTAATATTCATTGCGCTTACAATAGTATGTTGCTATTTAGCTTGTCTCAATGGTCACTCGAAGCCCTCCCCCACCCCCCCCCCCCCCCCCCATATTCAAGAATAGCTCGTTAAATTTTGGAAGTCGCCCGCATAGGTCACAAAACTGCGCAAGTGACTTGCATTGCTTGTGAAAAATCAAAATAAGTTAATAGTTTTCCAAATATTCACCTGATATCAAATTTTTTTGTCTGTTTTTGTCTTTTTTTGTCTTTTTTGTCCGCAAATCCTTTTTGATAATTTAGAAACAATAGGCCCAATGAAAAGCTGGAATGCATTCAAAAATATTTTCAAAGAGCGTCCCATCATTCGGAAAAGATCTTTCCAATCTATGAAGTTAACCACCTCATCATTCTAGGGACTCATTATATTCAAATACTTCTCAAATTTTGCAGCAAAAATAGAGGGCAACTCATCAAACTTATAAGGCCCTGATCCAAGAAGAGTTTTCTCAAAAAATCAAAGTTGATGCGCACTTCCTTTTCCAAAGATTGCACTATCGCCTGTCGATGATTTCTGGCCTTCGCCTTGTTCCGATAAGAGAACTTTAGTTGGTCAGTGAACATGATGACGTTTGTCACGGAACTCATACCTTTGTCTCTGCGAAAGGTGCGGCTATTTCTCCCAAAAGAAGCTTTTCCCATCATGAAACTCCAGTTTCGCTAGAATCTCTTCACCCTCAGCTAAAAAGTACAAATCGCTATCAATCACCACTCTGGCAACAAACACTGCCTTCTCCTAGCGGCGGTGTCGATTTCAAAGCAATTTCCGGGCTGTGTGGACTTCTTCAGACGCCAGCGTCGTGATCGGCGTCAATTGCCGAGAGACGAAAGGTCGTGTGGGGCTGTGTGGGGGTTCGCAGAAGCGCTCGACGTCTCAACGCTGCTGTGTCGTCAACAGTATGTTTGCTCTGCGAGCCGTGTGTCTCGTCTCGTCGCATCTGGATTGTCAGTGGAAACGGGCGGACGCGAACGGACGACTGGTGGGGAAACGACAAATGCGCGCACAGATGTGTCAGACGAAGTGGGGGAAATGTAGCCGAACTTCTTATCTGATGGACTCAGACTCGTTAAGAAGTTGGATTGAAACGAGTGAGCTAGTTATAACGATCATAGATTGATCACAAAAATTATATGGCATTGATTTCCAAGAAAACATACAAACTAGTGTTTAAATCAAAAGCGTTTCCTAGTTTTCAAATTCATGACACCTTAGCAACACACACTTCTTATAGAAGCGGGAAATTTTGTTATTTACAACAACCCGGAAATAGCTTGAGCATTTCCATGATTCAATAATATTCCATGAGCAACTTCTGACAAATTTTCGCACAGCTAACCTTTCTATGGGATAGGTTAATTAATTGTCGCACCATTTAGTCTCGTTTCGACGAATTTTAATCTGGATCTGGAATTTTACACCAGGTATTCGTTGCACGGAACCATGATGGTCCTTTCTCCCATGGTGGTCCTTTGTCCGCAGGGCTCAGTTCAGACAAGGTTATCGTTATTTGCTGTTTTTGTAGCTTCCAATTCTGGAAACACCCAAAGAATGTGACTGTCATTACTTACGGAATCCCTAAACTGAACTGTCGAATTGACTTGATTAGAATTTTTAAAAATGCAGTTTACCTAAGTATCCTACGGAATCTCATCACCCCCATCGCCTCTCTTGTAAGAACAGCCATAAAGTGACTATATGCAGAAAACCTAAGGCTTTGGCCATACTTTGCCCGTGTTGCCGGTGTTGAAAGTGTTACCGGTGTTGAAAGTGTTGTCAGTGTTGAAAGTGTTGAAAGTGTTGCCGGTGTTGAAAGTGTTGAACGGAGATCATCAGTCTAGCAGTTTCATTCTTTCTCGAACGATCTCACCGGCTGGTGAATACATTGGAAATGGAATTGGGGAATGAGAAATGAAATTGAAATGATGGGAGATTTTCGCATGCAAAAGATCCCCTAACAAACTTTTTGGAAAGTGGACGGCTTGTCTGGAATAGGCAATCTCCAATATTTGAGAAAGCTGACGTTTGAGTAGTAATGTGCTTTAGTTCGAATCCTGCCGCGCTTGCGATTAGTGAGTAAACGACCTAAGTGAGGTCTGCAGCGTTTTCAAATACTGGAGATCGCCTATTCCAGACAAGCCGTCCACTTTCCAAAAAGTTTGTTAGAAGATCTTTTGCATGCGAAAATCTCCCATCATTTCAATTTCATTTCTCATTCCCCAATTCCATTTCCAACGTATTCACCAGCCGGTGAGATCGTTCGAGAAAGAATGAAACTGCTAGACTGATGATCTCCGTTCAACACTTTCAACACCGGCGACACTTTCAACACTTTCAACACTTTCAACACCGGCAACACTTTCAACACTTTCAACACTTTCAACACCGGCAACATGGGCAAAGTATGGCCAAAGCCTAAGGAGCGTTGCGGGGTTTGTTAAGGATGCAAAGTTGTGGACCAGGTTACTCGCGATGCAAATTTTTCGTAGATATAAGATGTGTACTAGTTAATGTAAAAGAAGGGGAGAGTAGTGGCCACCCTCCAAAAAAATTATTTTACAAGACTAATTTGAATTTTCAGAAAATTTTAGGAAATATTTGATCGTTTACAAGTGCAAACACGTCACGCATTTTTACAGCTCATGTGGACACATTTCAAAGTTTCGACCCATTCCGAGAAGGAGCTTCCCGTCGGCCACTGGGATGCAGGTATAGATCCAAGATCTGAGCAACCCCTAGGCAATTCCTTTGACTGGAATTTTGCAAAGCTGCTCACATACATGTGCGTGAGCCTTTTCTCTATTTCTGTGCATTGAATCAGGCTCCTATGGTAATGGGATTGCAGTGAACCTTTAAAACCACCAATGATGTGGATTTGTGATCAGACAAACCAGAGAATGAGTAATGCATCGGCTTGACAGAGAGTACTCATATTTGAATTTTACAAAATGTTCCAACTTGCCTACTGTTCGCAACAGATTTGCTAAATTCTCCATGGACTGGTCAGCAGGTCAGGGAAAGCAGGGAAATGAAAGACTTGGCAACCAGGAGCTCCCGTTTCTCTTCCCTTTAAAATAAATAAACTTATCAATATGAGAATTGTAGTCAATTTGTCCGACTTGGCAACTTAGGAGAAAATGCATCATATCAGGATTCAGGTAAGAGTATGCCTTTCAAGCAGGATAACAAGAATCTTCACTGTTCATAATCCACAGTGAGAAGTATCTGACAAGGGAATGGTCAGATATCGAAGTGACCAATCCAGACAAGCTGCATACCTTTAGATGCAGCATAAAGCGCTGACTTTAAATCTATCTTTTATCTGCTTATCGCTTTTCTGGACGCTATAAACCATAAAAAACCAATATTTTGCTCGGAAATTATGCGTGAAAGTGAAAATTTGGCTGTGCAAAGCCACGTTCGGCTTCAAGCTGAGCCAAAACATGCAGCTAACTTACTTGAAACTCTCAAAGCCTAAAGCTGAGCTGAAATTGCAACAATGTGATCAATTTCACAGTTTCTATGTACGATTATTTTTCCACAATAAAACTGCTTGTAGCTTCGTCCATAGAAGCGATAAGCAGATAAGGAAGACAGACTCAAAGTCAGCGTTTTATACTGCATCGAATGGTATACAGCCTGTTTGGTTTGGCCACTTCGGCTTCTCATTCCCTTGTGAGGTTACAAACACATAGATCACAATAATAAATGCAATGCGTAAGAGGGTGAGGTTACGCGTCTAAATTTAGTAAATAAGACGAGTTATGTGACTGAACACACAGCCACACCTCAGTCTAAATAGCCACGAGGAACTGTTCCTTTCATAGCCGTTTTGGCTTGCAACGCCAAGTTGTGATATAGTTACAATTTTGTCTCTGAATCTCTTCGGTAGATCTGAGGTCACCCGATTCAGTTATTAGTTTCCCTCCTGGTCTAAAACCTCATGGTGTATAGATGCGCTTGAGCGCCCCTTTGATTCATTGTAGAAAATGCTGCAATAGCTTCTAATTTTGCATCCTTTAGATAAATGTGTGTGTTTCTTTTTGTGAAGCAATGCGATAAGTGACTTTACACCTGTGAAACCAACATTTAACTTCAAGCTTTATTTAAGTCCTTTGTGGGCTGTGTATCGCTCACGCCTTCGATCCCTAAATCAGTTATCATTACATTGATAAAAAGACACAACAAGCAGTAGTCAGGGCTCCGCACCTCCTTCAGACTTCTTGTCTTCCATTGCTGCTTTATTCACACGACCTTTTTCACGATCTGGGAACAATCTTGAGCTACTTAAACCATAATAGGTATCTGTTTCTTCGTTCTCTGGGTTCTGGAAATTTCCTAGTTCGTTTTGGTCCACGGATTGAAGACATACCTCGAATTCAGGAATATGTCCCGGTTTGTAGATTTGCTTTTGTTTTTGATGTTTACAGACAATTACCATAATTGGCAGCGATAATGCAACGCCCACAAAAAACTGTATTATAGTCAGAAAAGTCATCTGCAACGAAAACATTACTTGTAGTACGTCGGGGACGAGGCGAACCGATTGAAATTGCCATTCTTCCATGCCGCATACTAGAAATGAAACATTACCATGTTTCTGGAAATAGTTGAGACTGCAGTGGTAAATAGTGGAGTGGATGATTACCATGAAATACGTTTTAATACAGTTTTGCACTTCCAGGAGAGCGGTGACCATCCAAGAAAGTATACTACTTAAGGCACTCCTATAATCCTTGAAATTTGACGGAGTCTTTTGTAGCAGTGATACGTCAAATAAAGATAATGATTAGTGAAGCATAGAGCTGCTCTACAAATTGCAGCTCAGGCTTTCCATCATCCATCTTGCGAGTAGGGGATAAAAATCTACGCATTCTGAGGGAGTCGAAGTTTTTACTGCAGTCATAGAGAGAAAATTCTCCAAAATTGAGTAGAGCGCTAGTAACAACTTGTTCACATGAGTGCGAAGCGTTTCCGAGTTTTAGCCTCAGAACGATTTTGTAAGTTTGCTGCAGGACCATCATACGATGCGGAATCTATAAGGGTGCGTTCGTAATGATCCGCAAGTCCGGGAACAGTTCAAGCACAGCGCTTAGTTCGAGCGCTGTGCTGGAACTGTTTCTCGAACTTCAGGATCAGTATAAACGCAGCCTTAGAGTCCCCATCACTGAGGATTTGCAAAACTCAAGCCTATGTATTTATCCGTAATTGCTATTCTCTCTACGTACTTGGGTCACAGCTAGACAGCGGTAGCAGATTTTTAGCTGCTTTCTGTGGCATACGACGGAAGTGCGCTGTTAACCTCCAATTACTAAAGCTCAAACTTTAACAACGATTATACTGGTAGCAGCCCCACCCTGGACAGTTGCTTTAGCATATAGTGGAAGTCTGGTTGCTGTTGGGACCTAAAACACTTAGAGGCAACACCCACACAAAATTTAGGCTTCCGTGTTTTTGTCGTTCTAGGGTCTTTCCATGGCCTTGATTATAGTCGTGAAGTGCAAGCTGTGCCAAACCCCCAGACCCGACTTTTGGGAGCACTCCTGAAGGAGTGGGCGACTTTCAGTCTTCGGATGGGCAGAGGATAACAGGATGGGCGAGGCTCAAAGGCAGCGGCTCGGCAGATGACAACTTTGGGATATTCGCCATTCTTGGTTCCCCTGATGAGCTAGGTCAAAACTGTGCTGTGCGGCTTCAAAAAATATCAATCCGCTTTTCCAGACGTGAAAAGAGGTATTTGAAGGCGGACAGCGTATCCGCGCTCTAGAGCGCGATTGGCTCGTGGGTACTGTGGGTACAGTATTTCCACTCGCGAGGCAATCGCGCTCTAGAGGGCAGATACGCGCTCCGCCCTCAAATAGCGTTTTCACGTCTGGAAAAGCGGGTTACTGATATCTTTTGAAGCTGCAAAGCACGTCTTGGACTTAGCTCATCCAGGAGAACCGAAAACGATGAGTATCTCAAAATCGTCGTTCTGCCGAGCCGTTGCCTCTTATAGCACTTTCGCGGATTTCAGGTTTACATCTGCATCTAGATGGAGGACCAGACCAACGCAGATGCCACTACTCCGCCTGCATTTAGGCTAAATAGTAACCGAGGCAGCCTAGATTTTGCTTGGACGCTGCCTTAGACAACGGCCCGTAGTAAACCCCGCTCGGATGATCTGCGCTGACCTCAAAGGAGATCCGTAAGCTAATCTTACGATTCCTTTGCTACCAGTGCTTTAAGAATGGACAATGAGCTGAAAGCCAAGGGACCGGTCACTTGGCGCAGCGAGCTGCGCTGCCTGCCTAAGCTAAGCCGTCTCCGTCGGCCTGGCCTACGGACATAGCGTGTCTGCAAAGAGACGCAGACACAAATTCCGTAAGTTGCTTGTGAGTACCTTACTGAAAACATCAGCTGGCTGATTCTGCGGACGACAGTGCCCGAAATTGCACAAATAGTATAGGATGGCATACGAATGGGAATGATCAATGAACAGCTGATCGCAGCAAAAATAAGATGTCAAGTTTTTTCTACTATTTCTTTGGGCTATGTCGATCAAATCTTCATATATTTCGAAGAATGCTTGAAATAAAAATCAAACTCTCTCTTTATCTTTTAAAAATCATGATTTTTTGATAGATGTCGATGCTAAATTATCGTATCCGGTTTATGTCCTCGTTTGCGCAGCAAAGACAGCGCCCACCATCGATTTTTTGATAGTGGCTGCTATCAAAGATTGCCCCGGCGATATAACAAAAACATCGGCACCTCCCGTTCTCGAGCCGTACTGCCGCGTGCGTCACACTAGCTCTAGCCATTTGACCGAACCTGCACAGTATCTCGAGCGGGTTTTCCTTGAAAACACGCAGTTTTTGTCATGCCTACAATACCGCTCATAATTTGTCAAAAAAGTCGCCACACAGTGCGCCGCACTCCACTAGTGTGCACCGGAATACGCGTCGCATCGCCATATCTCGCTTGAGAATAGACGTATTCTGAATCCAAAGACACCGTTCGATTCAGTTCGGCGAGACGCATTATCTAGTGTACGGTGCCATAACCTATCGGGGTACGGCAGGTATACGGTCGACAGTAGGTTTTCGCTCAATTTTTCAGGTTTTTGTTTGATTGGATTTTCAGTGTGCTGATGACAATAGTTTCCATAATAGCCCCAGCGGACTTCCATAGCCGCAGCATCTGAGCTCTCCAGCTCTCATCAGGCCTGAGATAATGCTGCACAGATAGGCCACTTTTTTGCGTCGACCTTACTCTCTTATGGGCATGCTGGTGGTCCGCAGTGAGGCGCTGAAAAGCCAGCAAGACAAATATATGTTGTAGACAAAATGTCTTTGCAGTGAATTTTGTAGCTCTAGAGAAGATTTAGTCTGCTTGAAGTTACAGCGATTAAAATTTGCGCAAGTGCCCAGAACTTTCTTTACAACCTAATAATAATGATTGAATCATCACATCGGTTTTGACCAACTCACTACCACTTCAGCTTTCATCATGATTTAGGAAATGGAATAAAACGATTGGCTTTTGCCGTTCCTCATTCGGCTGTAAAGCGCATGATCGCACTTTGATTCGTCGCCGGTAGCAAGATTGCACCTCGTTATGTCACCGCGCATCATCTTGCAGTCATCAGTTCGAAAGTATCGAAAATGGACTGCTTTGAAAATGGACCTTTGCTTAGTCATGAATTTCGGCACAGTGAAGGCAAGCGCTAAACGCATGCCTGACGACTTCACCATTGCGTGCCGGGGCACCCTGTTCACAACAACATACCCTTTGCAACGGGATCAGGGCCCGGCATAAGTTCGTTTCTAGGCTTCTTGAAAATGAAATTGTTTTTCGCGAAATAATACGAAGTTTCCTTTGACCCCTAAACGTAGAAAAACCGTGAAAAGTCGATTTAAAAAACGTCGCAATTTTTGGTCTTAAAAACGATATCTCCTCTGTTTTTTCGCCTCAAAAACGAAGTCCAGTTTGCTTCCATACGATCTGCGTCGGGCCCTGATCGGGATTGAAGGTGGGAAGGCAGGGCTTCGAGGCCTAACCAAGGCTAGAGAATGATCAGCATCCGTCGCGGTTCGAGCGTTTGCTTCCAGTCACCAATCCGTTGAATCAAAGGGTACATACGAATTGCTCTCATATGTTGATTTGTTGTTGGGTGTAGCTCTGAATACTTTAAGAAAAGAAGAGTGTACGAATCAATCGGCTGCAAAGTTTTTACTTTCTGATCCACTGCGAGAAGGCAGAACAATTTTGCACTGCAACACTTAGGCCAGACTGCGCGGCATACGCAGCGTACGCATGTGCATGAAAATATTGGGCGTACACTGCGTATGCGTACGCCTCGTACGCCGGGCAGCCTGGCCCAACCCTTAGCGATCCTCCAGACCGCGCCGATTGCCACTATCGCAGCTGGTAGCTGCTTTCGCGCATGTTGTCGCTTTTGCAGCCGAAGCGCACAGGGTCAGATTCCGCTTGTGGGGCGCGTGGAGTAATAGATTGTTGAAGGAAGTTTACTGTTGTTTAATTCGTGCTGCTCCTTTAGCTAGTATCTAGCCTTTATTTTGGCGATATTGGTATGCTGGAGCGATGTGATTGCAACACTTCCGTCTTAAGCCTAGTCTACGTCTAGTCTATGTTGGATGAACTTTATCAATTCGAAACGTTTTTTGTACTTTCTTTGTTTGAAGCTGTTCCCTATGCTGCTGGGGCGATATCGTTGTAAAACGAATTGATGACTTTTTTTGCTTTAGGTTCTTCTATTCTATACCAGGTGAACGATTGCAGGAGTCCTTTCGACATATCTGTCTTGATGCTTCCATAATTTACTCGTTCTAGAACAACTTCAGAACGAGAAGTAGGTGTCAAAATCTTATTTTGCTTAGAATCGTTCACTTCAAAGTAGTAAAATTACTTGACTTTGAGTAATCCAACAAAACTTTGATTTGCAAGAAGGTCCCAGATTCGTATAACTGGTAGAACAGGTCGCAAATTAAAAAGAATGGAGAGATCATCGTTTCGCATCAACGCCTATTGAGCATAGTAGACGAGCCACAAGACAACAAAGAGGTCAGCTTCTCAAGCATATCTTATCATTCACCGTACAGCAGTAGCGTCGAAAGGAAAGCTGAAGCGAAGCAAACCGTTATGAAAGTTGCAAATATACCATTGGTATGTCCACTATGTGATCCATGAAAACGATCTGACCGGTGCGCTTCGACTGCGAAAGCGGCAACCGGCGCATTCTAGAGACTCTGTCAGGCCTCGGGCATACCTTGGGCGACTTGATCGTAACAATTCTTAAAGCTGGGGCATCAAATGCTTCGGCGTCCAATGGCTTCGGGACTAATCCCATGTTTCTCATTCTGGGCATACCTTTCATCGACTCGTAGCTCACACGCAACGCCCGAATGAACACAAACATTATCGAGTTCTTGGATTCGTCTAGCATCTCTCACTCTCTTTTCACACACTAATCTCACGACGCTAATTAGGCATGTAGACGCGTCCACCACAGCATCGCCTATTCTTCTACTGCTGCTAGCCTTTTTTGCATCTCTGACTGTGGCACGTATGGTTATGCAACAACATGCAACAACATGTTGCCCGAGGATGGCAGATATCATATTGCCGCCAACATGCTATTGTATGCTGGCTGCAAGTTGTTGCAGCGGACACATTAGCCAGTCGTACTGCAGCCAGAGATGCAAACCAACGGTAGCAGCAATCGTAAAGTAAAGTGGTAACAGTAAAGCAACAGACAAGTACACAGTAAACCTTCAGTTATTCAGGAGATTTTGAAGAAAGCGAATATTGCCAACACAATTTAGTGCTTCCGTAAATGAAGGGTTAAAGTGTGTAAGTGGGAAAAATAAGAGAAAGAAGTGAATAAGTGAAAAAGGAATAAGCAATACAGAGTGGTAAATGGAAACAAGTGTGCAGAGGAAGCGCAGGTCATGCGATATTCGCATGGTGCATCGGCTGATATTGTTAAAAGGACCTGCGAACATCTCCAGAGAAAAGAAAGCGCTACAAATCGCTCGTCGCTGGTGCAGACTCTGCGATGCGATTCCTTTCAGTTTCGGCGATGTGTGGCGATATCGCACTAGAGGTATTGCCCGTCAAAGTGCTCGCGATGGCATGCGATATGTCGCTCCTGCAAACTGGCACGGATGCGGCGGGACCCACAGTCTTAAATATTTGAGCGCGTGAGGTCAGGAACATATGTCCGGTGGAGTAATCGCGCAGCGATCGAAATCGCGTAAGGTATGCCCAATGCCTTAAAGTGGAGTGCGCTCGTCGCGATATGCCATGAGGTAGGCTGGCCTATTTTTGTTTTACAAGCACAACACACACACGCATGGTGGAATAATCTTTAGAAATATGCATGCTGGTCTCACATATCAACATTCTTGGCGTTCGAGCTAGTGATGAACCTTACTTTGCTATCATGCTCAAATGTCTAAGCAAATCCATGCCGCTTTCACTGTGAATTCGTGCTGTAATCTCTGCCTAACATACTAGAATTGCCACATGAAAATTCGGCAATAATGTGCTTCTCTTTCAGATTTTCTGATGGTGTTAACACATTCGCTCGCTTTCCTTAAATGCTTCTTAATTTTCGCCCATAGCATTGCATCAATGCTCGGTTGAAAACTGAGAATCATGATCAAGAATTGAGAGGCCGTCAGCTAAAAAGGCGAAAGTGCTATCACCTTCAAAAGTTGAGCTTAACAATGAGGGTTTATCAAGAGCGAACTCTTGCCATTGCCGTCGTTATGTGATCGATAGCGTGCGCATATATAATGATCATTCCACTAAGCAATGCTCACTTTCGTCCGTCTACTTTTGTGCGGCCGCTGACTACTCACTTACACCGCGGTGCATAGGTCAGTTTGTTCTCAGTGTATATCTCTGTACGCTGCACATACAAACAAACGCATACTTGGCTAAAAATCGAGTAGAGTCAGTTGTCATTTTATAACCAAAACGATGAGGTGCTGTCTCATGAGGTAGGCTATAAAATAAAACTCTACAAAACCCGATTTTTGGGAGCCCTACCATGAAGGCAGCAGAGCCGACTTTCGCTACTTTGGTGGGCGTGGCTTGATAGCACTTTCGTGTCCATACTATCTATTCAGAACCCATACTGGAAGGCCGGACTAACGCAGGTGCTTCTTTCTGGGGCCTATTAGACTACATGATAACAAACGGAGGGAATTGATAGCCTAAACGCTGCAATCAACCTTCTCCCTTCCGTATCCATGCATGCGATACTTGCTTTGATAAGCTTATTACGGATGGGTGTGAACAAACAATTTAGAGAATAAACGTTTATCATGCTTTTCGATATGGTTACTAAGCTCTTCTGCCCAATCAAAATTATTTCGCAGGCAAATGCTTTGACCATTTTCAAGGCTTTTGTTAATGAGGTCTTGGAGTGTTATGTGGAACTCAGCATCGCCGCATATAAATGCTGATGTATTTGCGTGAGTGAGTGAGATATCTGCAGGATTTCTTTGTACGAAGATATAAATCTTCCCAAAAACTATTTCAGGGCTTCACAAAGTTTTCTTCAATATTGCAGTGAATGGAGTTGGTGCGAATCCGCTAAGCGCAGTTCGGCTAAGGCGAGCCTAAGCCAAACGTAGATCTGATCTGATGAAGTGAGCTGCACCCAACGAGCTATCAGCAATCTACCAGATCACTTCCTAGCATGATTATCCTTGGAAGTGCTTGAGCAAGTTTGATCTAGCGGCTAAGTGATTGGGTTTCAACTCGAAAGACCGTTTCCGAGATCTGCTTCGAAAGACCGTGTTCCGAGATCTGCTAGTGGCAAAAAAGTTTTGCTGCTCGCCAGGAAGTCTTTAATAATCTTTGCCACTATCGAAGTATGATGATAATTGCTAATAGAGATTGCTACGGGCCCATTTTTTAGAGTTTGCTTTGCACTATATAGTGGTAAATGTGTGTGTATGTGTTGTGTGTGTGTCATGGGCTACTCGCGTTAATAACAAATCATGAAGAATAGGAT